TCGGCACGCGGGAAGACTGGGAAAGCATCTCACGGAGGCCTGGGAGGCTCGCTCTCGGGAGCCAGGCCGCACTTAGTGAAATGGAGCGGAGGGAGGCGCGGGCCGGCCGGCCGGCCGCCAACGCCCACCCGGAGACCCTACGGCGGGCCGGTAGGAGGGGTTGGCTTCTGGGCTCGCCGGCGGACTCAGGAAAACGGCGCCTCCGGGACCATCGCGAAACCTCCAGCAGCTCCCGGGCGGGTGTGCGGGCGTCCGTCGTGGGGTCTGTGGGGCGCGGGGGAGGTGGAGCGGGGGGATGGGTTCACGCGCGCTGGGGCTGGGGGTGGGGTGCCCGGTGGGGCGAGGACTTGGCAAACTTTCCGGGTGCCCGCTATGTGTGTCCTCAGATGGACAGGAAACCCATGTCGTCATCCGAGGTCAATCGAACACACGCCCCCTTGGACGGACGGACTGGGCGGGCCAGCACTGGACCGGAGAAACTTTGTGTGCAATGTCAGGACAATCAATCGCAAGAGAAACAGTAAGGCATATCTGCCCACAAGAACCACTGCCTCCGCCCGCACCCCATCCCCGCCCCCCAACTCTGCCTGCGGTGAGGGCCGCCGCCATATTCAGCATTAAGATTCATCATATTGTTGCTGTATCTGTGTTCTATGCATTATTATCCTGCAAGTATTTTCAAGTTAAAAAGGAAGGTATACGATCTTAATGCAACGTATAGACCTTATTTAAATATACAGAGCAGGAAGATTGTAGAAAGCTTGTTATCCTAATACTCCGTAGTATGTTTTCTCCTTTTCAAAATGGGCGACTGAGAGCTTGACATACTGCAATGATGAACCTGTGAGTTTTTTTTTCTTTGCCTTCTTTTCTCATACCTTTTTTAATGACTTTGTTTTGCTCTGTCTGGACACATGTGGCTTAAGAACCCCCCACAGGAAGATGAGAGCCCAGATGTCTGATAACGTATATCTTTAGCCTTATATGGGGATGTGTGGAATAATCTCTTTAGTATGATAGTCTTCTTGTGATTACCTTGTAATGAATAACTACACTTCTAACCTTTATGAAATTCATATATGAGCTTTACTGTAAAAATGCCCTTAGGGACTCCATAGAGACAGCCTGTGTTGTTGTCAGATCCGGGGTGGTGGCCACCTGCTAGATAAAACTTTCTATTTATGACTTGCTGTAAATTTCATTGGCTCATCTGCTCCAGGGCAACCTAATCCAGCAACAAGCTTAAAATAGACAGGATATCTGATAAGTGGTTATCTGTTCAAGATATATCCCGATGTAGGAACATAAGGATAGGTTATACTTGTTTGGCTTTAAAATATTCCAGCAGAAAGTAATTGGGAAGATGAAACAAGGAAGGTATAAATTTTAAATAAGACAATTACTGAACTTAGGTGACAGGTACATGCATTATTCTATTTTTGTATGTTTGAAATTTTCTACAATAAAACCTTTTTTAAAAGTAGGTTATGGATACATGTGCAGTTAGCCCGTTAAGACATAGTATCAAAACACTGAAATGAAGGCTATCCTTGAGAATAATTAAAAACATCAAAAGATAAACAGCAAAGTTTTAACAGTACTTGGGTGAGAAGTAGGGGTGCTGGTGAAGATTTTTAAAAAGTCTCTACTTTCTGGTTATGTGCCATCGAGTTGGTTTGGAGTCATAGCGACCCCGCAGGACAGAGGAGAACTGCCTCATAAGGTTTCCAAGGGGTAGCTGGTGGATTCAAACTGCTGACCTTTTGGTTAGCAGGCAGCCGAGCTCTTAACCACTGCGCCACCAGGGCTCCATCTTTGCATTAATTGGTTGATATGAGGTAAATTATTTAATTTTGCAAGAGGAATGTAATGACTTTCTAAAAACAGAAATATGAACTTAAAAAAATCGTGATTTCATACAATTCTTATGATACTAAAAAAATATTAGTAGAAACTAAAGCAGTATTGCAACTACTACTTATGTTTTTAATAATTCTTTGATGCATGTACCCCCTACTGCCTTCCCACTACAAGAGGAAAATTCCAACTTTCAAAACTTGATTTATGAAATGAACAGAAGTGTTTTCATATTTATTCAAGTTTCCCTTTTTAAAATACCACAAAAGCAGTAACAAGAACCTTATGAAATTGAATTAGATGATGAGAGTAGGGAAAAGAGGATGTTGAAAACTTGAGTTAGAGGTATTTTCCTTCTGTATAGTGTAAAAAACATCACACACAGAGCCAATTTTCATTAGCTAAATCAATGCCGGAAATTTCTAACTACTCTTTTTAGTTAAGACAGGATATCTCAAAGTGTGTTCAAAACCCAAAGACAGTAATCAGTATTAGGGGAGAAAAGGGATCCATAATCAAGTCAGGGAAGCAATGGGTTAAACAAGGTAATTTTTTTTTTTTTTAATTGCAGGTCTTCTCAGAATCTGTTATCAAGTGGAGGTATTATCAATGCCTTATTTTTTAGTACTCCATTACACTCTACATTCATTTCATTCTTTACATTTTCCTTAAATTCCGAGTTTGGCAATAATGTTAATCACTGAATCATGAATGACGGAACAGGTATGGGAAACCTGTCCAGTCTGCGGGAAATGTACTTCAGACGTGAGGACTGCAGTGGCATCACAGTGGTTACACTGATTATTCACTGATTTCTAGTGGCTCAGTCATCCATCCATCCACCTGCCTACCTAGCAGTTTTTAAAACGGTTAATTAACATTTGGATTATAGTTTTGCAGTATATATTAGTGTTTTTCAAACTGGGAATCATGATCTGTATCAAGTTGTGAAGACAACTTTGTAAACTAAAGTTTTTTTAAAAAAAATAATGTAATAGAAAACAGCAGAGTGCACTGCATATAGAACAGGTAAGGACTGTTTCGGAGAACTTTGGTTTCAGTTATTTTATCAAAGGCTTTGGATGTGGTTCATAGTCAACTAGTTCTAGAGTCTTGACTTCTGAGAATACTATCCAGCAGATCCCTGGAATCAGACATGGAAGAATCTCAGGCATTTACTGCCTCACTGACACTGTCATTAGTTTCTTTTCAGTCAGTGAACACCAGCCAGAGCCACCATGACTCTCCTCTAACCGTCAACCCGCATTCAACCATTCTTTAACTGGTAAGTTTCCATTATTGAAAAGTTGCTTTTATTTTACCAAGTGTTATTTGTATTCATTATCTAACATGTTTCATCATTTACTGTCATTATAGTATCTGTTACTTGAAGTATAGGATAACTTCATTCACATTTTATATTGCTCAATATCACTGCATAAGGCCCACAAATATATTGACTAATTCAATAATTATGAATTGGGGTATTAACTATTCTACATTATTCAGAAGTACTTCACAGAAGTCATGTACCTGGCTTAAGTTACATTTAAATTATATTTTGGAAAATTCGTTAGGGTTTTTTTAATGGAGTGGGAATACATTTTTTCCATTTAAAATAATGGAGTATGTTGTTGTTAGCTGCCATCGAGTCAGTTCAAACTCATAGCGACGATGTACAACAGAATGAAACATTGCCCGGTCCTGCGCCATCCTCACAATTGTTGCTATGTTTGAGCCCATTGTTGCAGCCCCTGTGTCAGTCCACTTCGTTGAGGGTCTTCCTCTATTTCAATGACCCTCTCCTTTACCAAGCATGATGTCCTTCTCCAGGGACTGGTCCCTCCTGATAATATGTCCAAAGTACCTGAGAAGTCTTACCATCCTTGCTTCTAAGGACAATTCTGGCTGTACTTCTTCCAAGACAGTTGTTCTTTCTTCTGGCAATCCATACTATATTCGGTATTCTCCACCAACATAATTCAAAGGCGTCAATTCTTGAGTTTTCCTTATTCATTGTCCAGTTTTCACATGCATATGATGCAATTGAAAACACCATGGCTTGGGTCAGATGCACCGTAGTCCTCAAAGTGACATCTTTGCTTTTCAACACTTTAAAGAGGTCTTTTGCAGCAGATTTGCCCAATGCAATACGTTGTTTGATTTCTTGACTGCTGCTCCCATGGGTGTTGTCAATTCAAGTAAAATGGAGTATAGGCTTGGAAATACATCTGAAAATTCCCTATTCAACATATTTTCAGAAATGGAATAGATTCAGATAATGAGGAATATATGTAGCTGATAAATTTGGTGTTGACTGCCTATTTAAGACAATAATAATTTATACCCTTTTAAGTGGTACTATTTTGGTTTTCATTTTCATAAATTTTTTTCCTTAAAATAGCAATCAGAAAATACAGATTATATGACTTCTGCTTGTGGAATTTCTTGTAGAAAAATCACCTCTCCTTGATTTTATTAAAAAAGAAAAAGAAAAAACAAAACCCAAAACTCAACAACAATAATGTCTCCTAGAGAGTTTCTTTATAATTTTTCTTGTGCAGCAGAATTTATCAACTCTGGATGAAGGCCTCTGCACCTTTATTACATTCTAAAGGTTTCTGTTACAGAATGAGTCAACTAGTGTTCAAAAAAGGGAGATGGTAAAAAGATGCATACATCTTTTTACAGCACTGATAAAATATTCCTACCATTTAACTTCTCTAATAGCATATAATAATGATGATAGTAGTAATGATAATTAAAACAGAGAACTAGATACTGTCCAAACAGCGTTATAGGTATTACTTCATTTAATCATGACAATACCATCATGGTATTTTACAAATAAACGGAAACACAAAAAGGACAAGTAATTGATCCAATTTCACAGTTATAAATGGTGAAAGGGAAATGATGCTTAATAAAGGATGTGCCTCATCATTACATTCCAGGGTTATGGAGATTTTTAAAAAATCTTCAAGGGTTCCAGAAGTCATTTTTGCATTCGTCAATATACCAAAAAAAAAAAAAAACCACAATGCTCTTGAGTGCATTCCAACTCATACTGACCCTACAGGACAGAGTAGAAACTCCACAATAGGGCTTCCAAGGCTGCAGTCTTTACGGAAGCAGACGGCCACATCTTTCTCCTGTGCAGTGGCTGGTGGGTTCAAAACGCCCACTTTTCGGTTGGCAGCTGAGCACTTAGAGCACTTAACCACTGCGCCACTAGGGCTCCCAGAAGGTAATATAGGCTTTCTAAAAGGGTTGAATGTGTGCTGAAATGAAAGGATGTCTCTGCAATACCAGAGCCACTGATGACAAGGGAAGGCTTTCTTAGATTACATCACATTCAGTGGCTTTCTTGATTATGAAGCCTCAGATGCTTAGTAAGTTGTGAATGACGTATAAAATCTTTACCACATTCAACACATGTATAGGGTTTCTCACCAGTATGGATCCTTTGATGTAGATTAAGTTCTGATCCACGACTAAAGGCCTTCCCACATTCCTTACATTCATAGGGCTTCTCCCCAGTATGAGTTTTCTGATGTTCAGTAAGGTGTGAACCACGAATAAAGGCCTTCCCACACTGCTTACACTCATAGGGTTTTTCACCTCTATGAAGTCTTTGGTGTTCACTAAGTTGTGAGCCATAAGTAAAGGCCTTGTCACATTCCTTACATTTGTAGGGTTTTTCACCTGTATGAATTCTCTGATGATAAGTAAGTTGTGTGACACGAATAAAGGCCTTCCCACAGACCTTACATTCGTAATGTTTCTCACCATGAATTTTCTGGTGTTGAGTAAGATATGCACCACGAATAAAGGCCTTTCCACATTCCTTGCATTCAAAGGGTTTCTCACCTGTATGAATTCTCTGGTGTTCACTAAGTTGTTTGCAGCAATTAAAGGCCTTTCCACATTCTTTACATTTGTACGGTTTTTCATTACTATGAATTCTCTGATGTTGAGTGAGATTAGAATTACAAATAAAGGCTTTTCCACATTCTTTACATTTATAGGGTTTCTCACCTGTATGAACTCTCAGATGGTAAGTAAGTTGTGAGCCACGAATAAAGGCCTTGCCACATTCTTTACATTCATAGGGTTTCTCACCTGTATGAATCCTCTGATGCTCATTAAGTTGGGAGGCACATAAAAAAGCTTTCCCACATTCTTTACATCTATAAGGCTTTTCACCAGTATGAACTCTCTGATGATAAGTAAGGTGTGAACCAAGAATAAAGGCCTTTCCACATTCCTTACACTTAAAGGGTTTTTCACCGCTATGAATTCTCTGATGGTAAGTAAGTTGAGAGCTAAGAATAAAGGCCTTGCCACATTCCTTACATTCATAGGGTTTTTCACCACTATGAATTCTCTGATGAAGAGTATACTGTGAACTATAACTAAAGGCTTTCCCACATTTCTTACATTCATAGGGTTTCTCTCCTGTATGAACTCTCTGGTGTTCAGTGAGCTGGGAGCCACGAATAAAGGCTTTCCCACATGCTTTACATTGATAGGGTTTTTCATTAGTATGAATTTTCTGATGCTGAATCAGATCGGAACTACGGCCAAAGGCCTTTCCACACTCCATACACTCATATGGTTTCTCACCAGTCTGAATCCTCGGATGCTGACTATAGCTTGGCTTTTTGCTGAAGGTCTTCCTACGTTTCTTGATTTCCGAATTTTGTTCATTATGAGTTTTCTCGTGCTGAATAAGGCAGGACAGGTAGCTGAAGGCTTGTCTACATTCCTTACATTTGTACACTTGCTCCTTTGTAGGAATTACCTGATGAAGCGTAGGGGATGTGGAATGAATTTGAGTGGTCTTTTCTTCACAGGTTTTCACATGCATGAAAAGTGCCTCCTGATTTCTCTGCTGACTCTTAAGCTGGCCTTTGTATTCTATGATGCCTCCAGGACGATGGTACTCAAGGTCATGGCCCAGAGACTTTCCCATTATCTCCCACTGGAGTGATTCCATTTTATAAATACTCTTTTCTGCAGATGGCTTCTTGGCCTCACAGCTGGATTCAAAGTCTGTAACATAACAAGAAAGCAAATTCCTGCTGTTTTTGTTTTCCAGAAGAAATAAAACTTTCAAGGTAAAACTGGCAGGTGAAATGAAAATCTCATAAGAGTAGAATGGCTTAAACAGCTGCCAATCATTTTGTACAAATTGAAATTTAAAAAGTCACAAAAGAACACTGTGGGAAGACCTTACAGAGAGGAAAGTAATTAGAAAATAAATCAGTGGTTTTCAAACTTTGGAGTGGATGAAAATCAACAAGGAAGCTTATATAACAAAAACAGTAACACCCAACAAAGAAACATGTCTGGCTGGACGTCCAATCTATCAGCAAATCCTATTAGCTGTACTGTCAAAACTTAGCAAGAATCAAACCGCCTTCACTACCCACCCAAGGCTAAGCCATGTCTCACCGCAACAGCCTCCTAATCGGCCCGCCTGTTTCCATCCTTGCCCTACAACCTACTGACACCGCAGTCAGAGCAATGCTTTCAAAATGTAATTCCTATCCTGTTATCCCCCTGCTAAAAATCTAAGAGCTCACCTCATCAGAATAAAATCGAAAATTTTTACTGTGCTCCATAAGAACCTACTTGAGCTTGTCCTCAGCTGCTCCTATGCCATCATCTGCAACCACTCTTGTACTTCTTCACTGTGTTGTAGTCACAGTGGCCTCTGTGCTGTTCAAACATGCCTGGAATATGCCTCTGTGCTTACAGTTCCCTCTTTTCGAATGCTCTTCCCCCAGATATCTGCGAGGCTTGCTTCCTTCATTTACTTTCCTACTCAAATGTCACATTATCAAAACATATATAACAACACCTATATTGTATTTGAAGCCCTGGTGACACAGTGATCAATAGTGTGGCTGCTAACCAAAAGGTCGGCAGTTTGAATCCGCCACCTGCTCCATAGAAACCCTATGGAGCAGTTCTGTGCTGTCCTGTAGGGTCTCTATGAGTTGGAATCAACTTGACAGCAACGGGTTTGTTGGTATATTGCATTTATCACTAATGGACATGCTATTTTAAAACTTAATGTGAACTTCATCCAGCAAGGACTCTGCTTGCTTCATTCACTGCTTTACATCTAATACCTAGAACCATCCTTCCAAGGAGCGCTCTGGCTGTGTGGGTGAGAAGCAAGATCAGCAAGAGCATAAAACTGATTCCTATGAGGTGGAGGTGAGACATAGCTCCACTATTCAATCATTTTACCAATTCCGACACCAGCTGGCCCCCCTGCCACGACACTCTCTACTTTGCTGGGTTCGCTAACTCATTGCAATGGCGACACAGAACTCACAGACCGTACTGACAATTATAGGGTTTATTTGGGAAGTAACAGGTTACAATTCAGGATCAGGATCAACTTGGAAGTAACAGAAACAACTCAAGAAACAGGATATACAGCTCATCAGTCAGGACAGCTTCCAACCAAGACAGCAATCAGCTCCTTTTCGGCCATACCCACAGGCAGGCTGAGCTCGGGCCTCTGCCACCCAGCCCCACTGGGGGAAGTGTTACAACTCTTTTGGCTCTGTCATCAAGTGCCCAGAGGCACCCCACTCTGCCAGCAAGCCTCCTGCCTGAAAGTGTTCAGCTCTGTCTCTCTGTGGGTTGACAAGCCCAATGCACTGGACTTGCTCCGTGGGCCAGGAAGCCCACTGCGGCCGTCTCTCACCGGTCTCCTGGTTCTTGCGGCTTGTGCCATTTTGTACCATCTAGTGCTGTCTCCAGTGTCTAGGGTGTTCTCAGTGCAGGGACCCTGGATCCAAAGGCCACGCTCGGCTCCTCGGCTCTTCTTGATGGTACTGAGGTTGCCCCTTTTCAGCCTAAGAGAGCAGCAACACTGACCAATCCCGTAGGTAGGCCACAGTCACCTAGTTTGCACAGTAACTGACCAGCCCTTACAAAGCTTTTACACACCTTATTTCCATAGTAAACTGTCCCATCCCTTTACAAGATAATAGCCTAGCAAATCATCTTGGCAGAACTACAAATCCGGGGCCTGAAAGGCCATATACAAAGAGAAACCTGTTGCCCTGCACATTCCTGTCCCCATTCTCCACACAGCACCCAGAGTGACCTTTAACCAAAGATCCCTTACTCACCTGCACAAAACCCTCCAAGGGCTTCCTTTCATACTTAGAATCAAATCTCACTCTTTGCAATGGCCTGTAAGTCCTTAAATCATCTGATCTCTGCCTACTTCTCTGACATCATTTCTATAATTCCCACTATCACTCACAGAATTCGCACACTATACAGAGATTACACTCTCGCCATGCTAACTTCCTTTCTGATTCTCAAGTAAACAAAACTCAGTCTTTCCTCAGGGTCTCTGCACTTTTCTTCCCTCTTCCTGAACACACATTCCCTGGATTTTTGCATGGATAACTTCATTCTAAGACCACAGCCTTCAGTATGGATTACACCTCAACATAAAGAAATAAAAAACCCTCACAACTGGACCAATATGCAACATCATGATAAACAGAAAATATTGATGTTGTCAAGGATTTCATTCTACTTGGATCCACGATCAACGCCAATGGAAGCAGCAGTCAAGAAATCAAACGACACACTGCATTGGGCAAATCTGCTGCAAAATTCCTCTTTCAAGTGTTGAAAAGCAAAGATGTCCCCTTGAGGACTAAGGTGCGCCTGACCCAAGCCATGGTGTTTTCAATCGCCTCATATGCGATTATGTGAGCCACGAAAGCTGGATGACAAATAAGGAAGACAGAGGAAGAGTTAAGGCCTCTGAACTGTGGTGCTGGAGATGAATACTGCATACTCCAGGGACCACCAAAACAACAAACCCATCTGTCCTGGAGGAAGTACAGCCAGAGTGCTCCTTAGAAGGGAGGATCGAGAGACTTCATCTCACGTACTTTGGACATTGTATCAGGAGGGACCAGTCCCTGGAGAAAGACATCATGCTTGGTAACGTACAGGGTCAGGGAAAAAGAGGAAGACCCTCAATGAGGTGGACTGCCACATCGATTGCAACAATGGGCTCAAACATAGCAAGGATTGTGAGGATGGTGCAGGACCGGGCAGTGTTTCATTCCGTTGTACACAGGGTTGCTATGAGTCAAAACCAACTTGACAGCACCTAACAACAAACAACAACAACTTCATTCAAGTCTCAGTTCAAATGGTCCTCCCTAGAGACACTCCCTGACCGTCCTAGATAAGAACACGGTAAGGATTCAACAAACATTTGCTGGCTGGAGATACCTACCCAAGTTTATGCAAAAGGGCAGTTGGGGAAAAAAATTTCAATTCAAAGTAAAGACTCCTTGAAAGGGACCAAAGTTTAGTTCCATCATTAAAATAAAAGGGGAATGTAAGAGAGAAGAAGAGTGGTTGATGGGAGTTGAGAGGGAGGGTCCTTTAGGAACTCATGTTAATATAGCGTTCCTGCTCTCCTTAGATCTCACGCCTTATTTCTTCGTGTGAGGGGCGCTTCACACAAACATGTGAAAAGTGCTACCTCCTGACAAGACAACCTCTGTTACTACTGATAGCAGCTCCCCATGTGACCAGCCCTGATTTACCTGAGCTTCGTCTTCTTGTCATGGCTATCACCATCATCCAGGGATCCTTTCCTTGCTCCAGTAAGGAGGACACATCTGGCTTAGGGACTGAACATCCAGCTTTAAAAAAAGGAAATGGAACATAGTCATCTTATGGGAGCACCAGATTCAAATCCAGTATACTAATCATCAGGTAAGAGAGATATTGATACAAAATGACAGAGGAAGGTGTTCAGGTCTGCAGGATGGGGGATATGAAGGTACACTGTGAAGCTGTCCATTTCTACCTATATAAAACACAAACCTTTCCTTAGGGAACAAAAATCAGAAATTCACAATGAAGGAGGCAGAGAGTATGGGGGACACATTCCAGATATTGTATAAGATGACCTCACCCAGTGACAACAAGTTGCTATAGTTCTCCAGCATCACATCCCTGTACAATTCCCTCTGAGCAGGGTTGAGGTATTCCCACTCCTCCTGAGAGAAGTCTATGGCCACATCCCTGAAAGTCACCAACCACTGAAACAACAAATGGATGAATTATTGTGAAAATCTGGTCATGATTTTCAGGTGAAAGGAGAAAAGATGAAGGAGGGCACTGAAGGAGGGGGGACACAACTCCATTATCTAGAAAGGTCCAGTAATAAGAAAAAGGCCAGATGAGTGCAGTTTCCATTTAAATGAAATATTGCTAAAATCATGCAGCACGTTGAATTTTCAACTTCGCAGTAGATGAGTTCTTCTCTTCTCCCTCTAATGAAAAAGATAAACAAAACTGACAGAAACTTCAAATAATTTTTACTAAATCTCTAGGCTTCAAAATAGAATTTAGATAGAACAAGATTATTTTGAACACTCAGATTCATCATGAAATTACAATCTTACATCACTGAATATTTTTCTTGGTCATTACAAAGTCTATAACACACATGTGATACTCTCATTTTATGGATGTAATAATCTACTTATTTGAGATTATTTAAATTGGATAAATTCTTCAATGTCTTTGAGCTCTGAAAGTCTGAAATCCTTAAGAGTATGCATCTGGCAGGTTTCCCTTCCTCCCACTCTCCACGTGCATAGACTACAGTAAGCCAACGGACACCAGCGCAGATGCGCACACGTCACGCAGGACTGCCACAGCCTAGCCAGCTCCAAGGTGACTCTGATGGCTGACCACCCTCCCTCATTATTCTTGGGCCAGAGGGGTACATGGCGTCCACATCCTAATCCCCAGAACCTGTGACTATGTTACCTTCCATGGCAAAAAGGGACTGCACATGCAATTAAGGATCCTGACATGGCGAGATGATCCTGGATTATGGAATCACAAAGGTCAGGACAAGTGGAAGAGGTAGCCAGGACACTCATAGAAGCCAATGTGATGACGGGATCTCATTGCTGACTTGGGAAAGGGAGGGGGGCCACAAGCCAAGTAATGTGGGCAGCTTCTAGATGCCAGAAGAGGCAAGTAAACAGATTCTCCTCTAGAGCTTCCAGAAGAAACACGGCTCCACCTGCACCTAGGTTTTAGCCCCACGAGATTAATTTCATACTTCTCACCTCCAAAAGTGTGACATGGTACATTTGTGTTGTTTTAAGCCACTAAATCTGTAGTAATTTGTTACAGCAGCAACAGGAAGCTAATCCAAGGGGCAAGATCCTTTCCTTCGCAGTATTCAGCACAGGCAGTCCCTGCCCTATGAACATCCGACCAGAGTCTGACTTTGGTACAACCCAAAGTTATGAACCAACCCCCGGAAAGCCCCTTATATTCAAATTCGAGATGCATACAATGGTTCACAATAACAAACGGGCACTACCGTGCAACACACGTCAAAACATTATTATTACTGTATTATTATGTTAAGGATATTCTAGCGTATCCAGAAGTGTTTCTTTAATGTTTTCTATGCGTGGCAAGGTACACTATATACTATGTACTAAGTCACACATTTGACTGACGTTAGATACAAACCATACCTAAATGTTACGACTTATGTGAAATTCGACTTAATGACAGATTTAGGAACGGAACTTGTTCATAATCCTGGGAATGCCACTGCTACATTTCCATGCAATCTTAACAGCCTCCTAGAAAATTTTGCCACACACTGAGACTGGAACCAGCCATTGGAAACGCTGTCACTTCCAAGTGGAAAACCCAGGTTTGTAGAGAACAAAATTTGCCAGGTCTCTCATTTAGCCGCTCATCTCTACCTCACCAAACCATAGTACTAACAGTTTGTACTGCTCTTAAGGAGAAGTACTTCTGCTCCCTCAGGGACTCTTGGGAGAACACTGTGCATGTAGGAAATATAAAATGATCAGCTGGATGAACATCTGAACGCTGGGGCGGGAAAAAACATTCAGAGAAGAATGGGGTTCTTTGCTGCCATCACTCACTAGGATGGGAGAAACTGGGGAGCAGTTCTCTTATGGGGCTGAACAAGGCAGAAAATTCTGGAATAAATAAATCTGGTGTTCACATCACACAACAAAATGATTGTACTTAAGGAAGGAGAGAAGAAACAGCAACTCACGTGGGGCATGGTTTTTAGAACTGTCAGAACTCAATTTTCCAGGTTTCTCTCCTGGAAACGTGCAGAGTCCAGGGAAGCCAGAGCTGGGGAAAGAAAAAGAGAGCCCACAAAATAAGCAACTCAGAACTACCTTTACTTACCCTCTTGGGGAGTGTTTTTTTCTTTCATTTTTATAAATTCTTTTATTGTTTTCAGTGAAAGTTTACATAGTAAATGAGGTTCCCATTTTGACAATTTCTGTGTAATTTGTTCAGTGAGATTAGTTACGTTTTGCACAATGAGTGAACATTCTCCTTCATCGCGTTTGTTCCTCTTCTGGTACTCTAGTGTCCCCTCTTCTCATCTTTGCTTTAGAGTAACTGTTGACCTTTTGGTCTCAGAGAATTTTTTTTTTTTTTTTAATAGAACCCCGTACGCATGGGTAATATCCTTTGTTGTGCATGCTGCTCTGTTGTTTTGCTAAAAGGTGGCCTCGGGATAGCTTTTGTTCCACGTTTAAAGAGTATCGCAGGGGGATAGTCTCAGGGAGTCCTCTGGTCTCAGCTGGTCCAGTAAGTCTGGACTTTTTTTCGTGATTTAGGTGAAAATTTACAGAGCAAATTAGTTTCTCATTAAACAGTTAATACACAAATTGTTTTGTGACACTGGTTGCCAACCCTGCAATGTATCAACACTCTCCCCTTCTCCACCCCAGGTTCCCTGTTTCCATTTGTCCAGTTTTCCTGTCCCTTCTTGCCTTCTCATCTTTGCTTCTGGGTTTCTTCAAGAGAGTTTTGACAAATCTCAGTCTTTCCTCAATTCCAACCGAAGCCAGCTACAGTAGAAGGGATTCAGGCCAGACCTTACCCCAGTCCCCAAGACGCTGAACTGGACCCCAGACGGTACTACTTACCAACCTCTACAGTAGGAATGGGTATACCCAGGGAACCCTCAAGAGCAGATGCCCTCAGACCCCCACACTAAGTGCTTTGCTCCCACCCTCCCCATCTAGGAAGGGGCTTCAGAGATGAAAGCAGTCTCCTCCTTTCAGCCCTTATGGACATAAGCCAGGCTCATAAACTTCGACATACACCCCAGGGTCAATATGTCCAGCACAGTCTCTACCAGAACAGAAATGCCTCAGTATATGAGTATATGGCATCTCAGCTTCCTCCTAATCTGTGTTTCCCAGAACCCTCCAGTCCAGCATATTCTGGTTCCCAATCATGACCACCTGTGGTTTCTTGGCTGACAGTGTTAGACTTGGAGAGGAGCCGAGAATATGGTCTTTATGTTAATATTTAATTATTAGGACGTGTCTGTGACCACATTTCAACACATCTGGAAACAAGCTCAAGCAAGTAAAGTCAGTTGCCTAAATTCAAAACTAGAAGTGGCATAGCTGAATTTTAAATTCTTCCAAGAAGGGGAATAAGCTTGGGCTGCTGGCTCCCTCCCCTAAAAATCAACCCTGGAAAAACCATAGAGAGAAGCACTGAATATGGAATCTGGGAAGCAGAAATTGGAGAAAGGCCCGGTGAGATAGAAAGCTATTCTGAACTTCTGTTATGGGCATATGAGTGGGCCGAAACTGTGAGAGAAGTTAGGAAAAAGCAGCTTAAGCTCTACTCCAGAGAGACTCCCACAGGAGACTTCAAGCAATGGCTATCTCCAGAAACTGGGGCAAGGTCGTGGGAAGAAAACAACTATCCCAATTTGGAAAAAGGCAAAATGGGGCTTGTTTGCTCCTTAAAATTGTCTGAGTCATAAAAAAAGAGCATTTAAGGCAGGCAAACTATAGTCATTTGGCAAACTGCCTGTTTTTGTAAATAAAGTTTTATTAGAACGATAACCATGCCCCTTCTACGTGTAGGGATGTTTTGCATTACAACAGCAGAGTTGAGAAATTGTGAGAAAGACCATATAGCTCACAAATATAAAAATATGTACTATCTGGCCCTTTACGGAAAAAGACCTCTGTGAATAGAGCATTTTCAAAGAGCCTGATTGAGTAAAAGCAGATCACTAATATTTCTTAACTGACCCTCATCTGACGCTCTTAGGGAATGTACTTTTCTTTTTGCACCGTATCTAATTATCAATCCACAACTGTTGAAAGATGTAGACGGTTTATAGCCCAGGAAAGTTATAGGTTAACATGCAGAAACTGATAAGGTGTTATGGTTGTATAGCCAGGTAGAGAAGGCACCCCCAAAGGTGTAATAAAACTAACCAGTTGGTAGTGATTCTAGCAATTTTATTCTTTTCACTTATTCCACACACATATATTGTACCTTCTTTTTGTATATATGGAAACCAGCAGCCATTTCTGTCTCTCTTGTTGGTTTCCTCATTAAAGAGTTGAATAAAACTTTATCACGTGGCACCCCCCAAAAGACCAAACTCACCATCAATTCTGACTCACAGCGACCCTACAGGACAGAGTAGAACTGCCCCATAGGGTTTCAAGGAGCAGCTGGTGGATTTGAACCGCTGACCTTAGCAGCCCAGCCTTTAACCACTGTACCACCAGTGCTCCATTATGTGGTACAACTCTGTAAATTTACTAAAAAAAAACAAAACAAAACAAATTATACATTTAAAACAAGTACCTTTTATGGTATGTAATTATAACTCAATAAGGTTATTAGTACAAACAAACCAAAAAACAAAATAAGACAAATCAACACACAACGTTATTATGTGAACCAAAACCAGATAAGTCTAGATAAAACCCACACCACGTAACCAATGGGGTAGATCTTATGCATATAAATCTAACTTTCTATGCCAAAAACAGCAAATACGCCTTCTCTGTTCAATTAAACATGGAATATTCACTAATATACTGATCCTATATTAAATCACAGGAACACTTTAGTAAGTTCCATAAAATAGAAATTCAGCAGTATTCGCTCATCACAATGCAATAAACACTTTTAAAGGCCTTATGACTTAAAATTTTCTAAATATCCATTAAATAACTCTTGTGTCAAAAGGAAAAACAAGGCTGAAACTGCAGAATTTCCAGAAAATTAATGGTAATAAAACATTAATATCAAAATCTATGGGATAAAATTAAAACTGTTTAAATACAGAAAAATTAATCGCCTTAAATATTTACCAATACGCATAACAAGAAATAACAAACACCTAACTCAAAAAGCCAGAAAAAGAACAATGTCCACAGAAAGTAAGCAGGGGGAGAATATAAATAATATAAATACAGAAGTTAATTGGTTAGAAAAAGAAAACTATTAGAACTAATAAATATATTTTTAAAAACCTGGTTCTTTGAAAAAATTAGCATGGAAGAAAAAATACTAATGCGTTTAATTTTTTTTCTTTCTCTTAAGAAGGACGAATACACAAAATAAGACATGTCAGGGGGAAATTAACCACTGGAAAAGAATGTTTAAAAAAATCATAAGAAGCTACTTTGCACCAAAAAAAAAAAAAAAATCCATTGGCGTCAAATTGATTCCAACTCATAGTGACCCTATAGGACAAAGTAGACCTGCCCCATAGAGTTTCCAAGGAGCAGCTGGTGGATTCGTACTGCCGACCTTTTGGTTAGCAGCCAAACTCTTAACCACTGGGCCACCAGGACTCCACTTTGCACAACTCTATGCAAGTAAATTTCAAAAACTAGATGAAATGGGTAATTTTCTGGGAAAACATGAAACTGACCATAACCAAAAAAAGAAAACCCCTTTGCCGTCGAGTGCATTCCTACTCATAGCAACCCTGTAGGACAAAGTAGGAAACCAAACAAGTTGTGGAATGCCATCAAGGACATCACACATGAGGGAAGCAAGAGGTCATGAAAACGACAGGAAAAAAAGAAAAGACCTAAATAAATGTCAGAAAAGATCTGAAAATTGCTCTTGAACATCCAGTAGCTAAAGTGAAAGGAAGAAATGATGAAGCAAAAGAACTGAAAAAGAAATTCAAGCCTCGAGTTGCAGTACTGAAGGGTTCTATGGGCAAAATACTGAACGACACAGGAAACGTCAAAAGAAGATGGAAGGAACACGCACAGTCACTGCACCAAAAAGAACTGATCGGTATTCAGTCATTTCAGGAGGCAGCATACGATCAAGAACTGATGGTATGGAAGGAAGAAGTCCAAGCTACACTGAAGGCACTGGTGAAACACAAGCTCCAGGAATGGGCGGAATACCAACTGACGTGTTTCAACAAATGGACGCAACGCTGGAGGTGCTCACTCATCTATGCCAAGAAATTTGGAAGAGTGCTGACACATTGCAGGGACTGGGGCTAGTGTCACAAAATAATTTCTGTATAAAATTTTTGAATGAAAAACTAATTCGCGCTGTAAAAAATTTTCACCTAAAACACAATTTAAAATACTGAAGTTAAAAAAAATCAAAGTTATGAAAACATTTATTCTTGATTAAAAGAAACTGAAGAGACAATGAAATGTAACATATGAACCTTGAATATAACCAAAAACCAAATATGTTGTCGTCGACTCAATTCCAACTCACAGTGACCCTACAGGACAGAGCAGAACTGCTCCACGGAGTTTCCAAGGAGCGGCTGGTGGATTCAAACTGCTGACCTTTCGGTTAGCAGCCAAGCTCTTAATTGAGTATCACAGGATATATTCTAAGAATAAAAATAACCAAAAGAAATCTAAAATGCATCCCTTCTCCTGATAACTAGTAGTGATACTGGTGTTGTTATTTTAAAACCATTGTTAAGTATCTTGTAGGGTAAAGCAAATAAATTATGTTAATACTGTTATCAATCAAGATTGTTAGCATAAGAGAACAGAAATACAAGTATAAAATCAGATAAGAAAAAACCCTGTAATCTTTGGTCTGAATGGAAATATTATGAATTCATGATTTATGGCTTATACTTTAAGAACAAGTATTTACTAGCTTCGTCCGCAGAAAAGGCCTAGAAGAAATGCTAGCACTATGACAGTGAGTACCACTAACTTAGCCCGGGCTGTGCTCGCTATGTATCATGCTCCACAAAAGGACCCAGAGTTAAAAACCAGTAACAACAACAAAAAAGAAACCAGGGTTTCTGAGAGAAATGGCTCGTTTAGGACTGGAACAGGAAATGTACAAATTGAACTCGGGACATCTTGTGTCAGAGAGCAAATAAGCTATCAACTACAATAAAATCATTACAAAAAGATACAGGAGCAGACTGGACAGGTCTCCCACTGGCCAAAGGGGCAATTTGAGATACAAAAGAATAATGACTGAAATAGCCTGAAGCACATCAAATATATAAAAATGCAGGAGTTAGATGGTACTCAAGACAAACAAACTCCCTCACTTTTGGGACACCTCAGCAGGTTGTAGGGCACCAACTCATTTCTCTGAAAATCAATACAGAAATACATAACGGGAAAGAATTAAATCAGTTTTCCTGCCTCTTCATACGAACTGTATTTTAAGATAACTAAATAGCTTATGAAGAAAAGTTAAGGGCTCAACCACTAGCCAAAAGATTGGCGGTTAGAACCCACCCAGACGCGTGTGGGCACACAGACCTGGTGATTGCTTCCAAAAGGTCACAGCCTTGAAAACCCTGTGGAGCAGTTCTACTCTGCACACAAGTGGTCACCATGCGTCGGAATCAACTTACTGGTAACTAACAACAACAAGCTAATAAATGTAGAAGGAACTGAATTTTCAAAAATCACCCTATGTAACCCTTAATGAAATAATGGATCTCAACATCAATCATCCACGGATGCTGTAACTTTTAGGTCAGTGTTTCTCAATTTTTTTCATTATCAGCTGCCTAAGGAGCCTTTTTAGACACTTTTTTTTCTCTTAATAGCCACCCCCCACTAATAAAATTTTAACACCATGAATATACTATAAATCTGTTTCTGTATTGTCCCCTTTGGAGGGCCACATACCATTGTAAGAGCTAAGATTTTTTTTGTTCCCTCCCCACCAAGAACCAGTTGTGACCCCCTTGGAGGCTATACACCTCCACTCATTCAAAATGCATGCTTCAGGTGGAAGACTGAGGTGAAACTTTATAAAGGAAAGACCAACTGGGAGACGGCACGGGAACTCACTGATCTATACGGCATCAGCAGTGAGACACCAGATTTTCAGAGCCTCATGATGTGATATAACAGGAAGTATACAGCACTACCTAGGAATAAATGTTGCCTAAAACTGTGAACCTGAATCTTGTTAAGCATCTAGCTCTAACTACCCGATTACAAAAATATGAGGGGTGGGTAAACAAATTATATGAAACCACAAGGAAGCAATTAGTCAAAAGCAGGATGTGGAATATTCTATAGGACAAATGATTCGGTTTTTCTACAAATCAAAGGCACCAATTAAAGCAAAATAAAAGCAAAAAAAACAGGAGGGAAACTGTTAGGATTAAAGAAACGTAAGACACTTGGCAACCAAATGCAGTGGTGGATTCTGTCTGGATCCTGCCTTGAACAAATAAATTGTAAAATCTATTTTTGAAACAACTTGGGAAATCTGTCTGAATATGGAATGGATATATGATAATATTCTGCAATTATTGTTAATTTTCTAACTTAGGATAAGAGTATAGTGGTTGTGTAAAAATACAATGTCCTTATATATAGAAGCCCTGCTGGCACAGTGGTTAAGAGCTTGACTGCTAACCAAAAGGTCGGCAGTTCAAATCCACCAGCCGCTCCTTGGAAACCCTATGGGGCGGTTCTATTCTGTCCTATGGGGTAGCTATGAGTCGGAATCAACCCGACGGCAATGCATTTTCTTCAGCATACATACGGAAGAAATAACGTAATTTTGAAATATTACAAGAAAAAAAGGAGTTGGGAGGATAGAGGTAAAGATAATGCAGTTGCAAATGTTCCTCTGTCACTTTGGGTTGCACCTAACGACAACAGATGTTTGCACTTTAGGGTTCACGTTATTTTCTATCTTGCTTGAAAACTTCCATAATAAAAAGCTAAAATAAAATAAAGGTCTTCCAACTGCCCTCCAGAAAGCACAGTTATTTCCCATCAAAACTCTTAGACCAGAAAGGACTGATGTGTCCTTGGGTGAAAAGGAGCGGGGTGGTATGGCTGGGCGCGAAGCTACACTTGTGAGTCCATCCCTAGAGTACCGTCACCGAACGGTGGTTCCTCCTTAGGAAGAAGCTGCAGAAGGTAGAAGGCATCTTGAAAGTGATGAAACTTGAAGGAAGAAAGAAAATGGCAACTTACTTCAAGAAAGTCTTTACGACGTACACTATTATTTCTCTCTGTGTCCTTCTCCTGCAGAAAAACAGAACTGAGGAAAGGAAAAAGAATCAGAGCCTACAGAACAATTTACGACCACCTCCGAGGACCTCCGAACAGTTGGTCCGCTTTTCCCACAGGACTCTCAAGGTACAACAGGGATCCTATCACGGCGGTCTGTTTTCTCCCTTCCTAGGACACTTCTGGGTGTAAATCCTTATTATCGGGGCATCTTCAAGCGCCCGGTTCTCGGGGCAGGAAGGTGACGAGACCGCAGTAGCTGGAGCTGCGCGATTCTCAGCTGGCGGGACGCTGTCCCCCTCCCCAGGGGATGAGCACAGAGACGCAGGGGAACCCTGCAGCCGCGAGCGTCGGGGGCCGCGGTCACAGAGAAGCCACTCAGGCGCACTCACGCGCCCGGCGGGAGGCACGCACCTCGTCACCCCGCGCCCCGCCCGGTCGGAAGCCCAGTGACGGTGCCGGTATGGCCGGCAGAGGAGGAACGCCGCCAGTCCGCACCGGCAGAGCCTAGTAACTCAGGAAAACGAGCCTGGAGTGCTGCGTCCTCGGAGAGATGCTGTCCGCAGCCGGCGTCGACCAGCTCCTGGCATCAGCAAGCCCCGGTGACACCCCTGCATTCCGAGCACCGCGAACCCAGCTTCTTTCCGTGTGTTCCGGCCCAGGTGTGGCACGCCTGCGCGGAGCGCTCAGGGCGTCCGCTCACCTGGCGGATGCACACGTAACGAGGACAAAACGATGACGTAACGACGTAAGTTTACGGCATGGCGGTGCCGCGGTGGCCTCTGGGAGGTGTAGTGTCAAGCAGGAAACCGGACAGCTCCGTCAGAATCTAGGCCCAGTGACAGTGACCTACACCCAACCCGAGGTCCATAATCAGACATACCCCCACAGCTCCCCTGACACCAACTTATTTGAGGAAAAATCAGATAAAAGGATTAAAAAAATGAAGAAACCCCGAGAATTCTGTGGGATTCTATCAAGAGAAATAACCTACAAGTGATTGGATTACCAGAACGGGGCGGGGAGGGGGGGGCGATAACAGAAAATACAGAGAGAATTGTTGAAGATTTGTTGGCAGAAAACTTCCCTGATATCATGAAAGATGACAAGATATCCATCCAAGATGCTCATTGAACCAAACATAAGGTAGATCCCAAAAGAAAGTCACCAAGACATATTATAATCAAACTTGCCAAAACCAAAGATAAAGAGAATTTTAAGAGTGGCTAGGGATAAACGAAAAGTCATCCACAAAGGAGAGTCAATAAGAATAAGCTCGGACTACTCAGCAGAAACCATGCAGGCAAGAAGGCAAGAGGATGAGATATATAAAGTCTTGAAAGAAAAAAAATTGCCAGCCAAGAATTATATATCCAGCAAAACTGTCTCTCAAATATGATGGCAAAATTAGGGCATTTCCAGATAAACAGAAGCTTAGGGAATATGCAAAAACCAAACCCAAATTACAAGAAATACTAAAGGGAGTCTTCCTGTTAGAAAATCAATAACATCAGATAACAACCCAAGACTAGAACACAGGACAAAGCAACCAGATAGCAACCCAGATAGGGAAGTCACAAAAACAAATCAAAGCTAAAACACTGAAAATAGGGAAACAGATGTCAATATGTAAAAGATGACAACATTAAAACACAAAACAGCGACTTAAAAAATGTAGATATAGATTTTTCATATGGAGAGAAAGTCCAGGTGATATAAAGAAACAAAAGATTGGTATAAACTTAGAAAAATAAGGGTAAATATTAAGGTAACCACAAAGGAAACTAACAATCCTACAAGTCAAAATAAAAAACTAGAAAAATATAAAGACTCAGCAAACACAAAATCAACAATGAAAAAGATGAAAAGAAAATACATAAAGAAAAATGACTCAGCACAGAAAATTAAGTGGAACAAAGAAACTGTCAACAACACACAAAAAAAACATCAAAATGACACACTAAACTCTTAACTATCAATAATTACGCTGAATGTAAATGGACTAAATGCACCAATAAAGAGACAGAGAGTGGCAGATTGGATAAAAAATAAGATCTGTCTTGATGCTGCCTACAAGAGACACACCTTAGACTTAAAGACAAAAACAAACTAAAACCTTAAAGGATGGAAAAAATATATCAAGCAAAGAACACTCAAAAAAGAGCAGGAGTGGCAATATTAATCTCTGACAAAATAGACTTTAAAGTAAAATCCACCACAAAGGATAAGGAAGGACACTAATGATTAAAGGGTCAATACAGCAGGAGGACATAACTATAATAAATATTTACACACCAATGACAGGGCTCCAAAATACATAAAACAAACTCTAACAGCATTGAAAAGTGAGAGACAGCTTCACAATAGTAGTAGTTGACTTCAACACACCACTTTTGGTGAAGGACAGAACATCCAAAAAGAAGCTCAAAAAAGACACGGAAGATCTATATGCTACAATCAACCAACTTGATCTCTGTCTTAAGCTGGGTTCTCTAGAGAAGCAAAACCAGTAAAGTGTATGAATATACATAAAGAGAGAGATTTATATCAAGGAAACAGCTCATGCGATTATAGAGGCTAGAACGTCCCAAGTCCATGGATCAAGGTAGACGCCTCTCCCAAGTCACCGAGCCGCAGAAGTTGGCGAGCCCAAGATCAGCAGGTCAGAGATCAGCAGGCCTCCTGCTCACAGGCTGTGAAGGTTGACGAATTCTAAGATCAGCAGGCAAGACCACAAGTTTCTCCTTATTCACGTAGCTGCAGGGGCTGGCGAACACAAGATCGTCAAGTCATAGAGCAGGGCTTCACTCACAGGCTGTGAAGATCGACGAATCCCAAGTTCAGCAGATAAGCTGACAGCTCAAGTCCCAAGAAAAAGAGATGAGATGACAGGAGGCAGCCATAAGATCCAGAGTCAGCAAAAAGCCAGAACGTCTACTTATATTCAGATGCAGGCCACACCCCCAAGGAGACTCCCTTTCATCTGATTGGCTACTCACAGTATATTCAATCATGGGAGTGATCACATTAAAACACTGAGATTCATGGCCCAGCCATGCTGACACACAATCTTAACTATCACAATCTCCAGGACATATACCAAACACTCCACCCAACAGCAGCCAAGTATACTTTCTTTTCCAAAGCACATGGAACTTTCTCCAGAATAGACGACATATTAGGCCATAAAGCAAGCTTAACAAAATCCAAAGCATCGAAATATTACAAAGCATCTTTTCTGACCATAAAGCCATAGAAGTAGAAATCAATAACAGAAAAAGCAAGGAAAAAAAATCAAACACATGGAAACTGACCAACACCTTGCTCAAAAACTACTGGGTTATAGCAGAAATTAAGGCTAGAATAAAGAAATTCATAGAATCAAATGAGAATGAACATACATCCTACCAGAACCTTTGGGACGCAGCAAAAGCAGTGCTCACAGGTCAGTTTATAGCAATAAATGCATACATCCAAAAATAACAAAGGGCCAAAATCAAAACATTAACGCTACAACTGGAACAAATAGAAAGAGAGCAGCAAAAGAAGCCCTCGGGCACCAGAAGAAAGGAAATAAGAATTAGAGCAGAATTAAATGAAATAGAGACTAGAAAAAGAACTGAAAGAGTTAATAAGACCAAAAGCTGGTTCTTTGAAAAGATCAACAAGATTGATAAACCACTGGCCAAACTGACAAAAGAAAAACAGGACAGGAAGCAAATAACCCAAATAAGAAATGAGATGGGCAATATCACAACAGACCAAACTGAAATTAAAAGAATCATAACAGAATACTATGAAAAAATTGTTCTCTAACAAATTTGAAAACGTAAAGGAAATGGGCAACTTTCTAGAAACACACTACCTACCTAAACTAACACAAACAGAGGTAGAACAACTAAACGAACCCATTACAAAAGAAGAGATTGAAAAGGTAATTTAAAACTCCCCCCCAAAAAAGCCCTGGCCCGGATGACTTCACTGGAGAATTCTGCCAAACTTTCACAAAAGAATTAACACAACTACTACTAAAGGTATTTCAGAGCATACAAAAGGATGGAATACTCCC